AGACGGAGGAGGGCGAGGTGTCGGGCTGAAAGCCCACCACCCTGCGCTTCCCCTGCCCTCCATGCGTTTTAACCGGGGCGAGATCCATCGTGGGGCGGCGGGAGGCCGCCGCTGAGGAGGGAATGTGGAGAAACGAGCGGTGCTGGGGCCCTTTCATGGGGACCGCGAGTGGGCGTCCCGTTTTTGGCCCAGGGGGGACCAAATGCAGGACCTCAATTCACCTCGATTAGGACTCTTGCAATCTTTCACGGCATCCACAAGGCGCGGCAGGGCCCTGTGTGGACCTGGGGGTTGGTGTCGGCAGAGGTCAAAACACGTGAATGCCGGGTGGGGATGCGAGACGCTCACCCCCTGAATGGGGCCTCTCACAGGTTGACAACCCAATGCTCAATGGAGGGGCCGCCCGGCGGAGTGTGGGCTGGTGGGGAGGCTGGCCGCCCTTCCTGCCCCCTCTCCGCCGCTACCTGGACTCGCTCACAGCCCCCGAGAGCAAGCCCTCTGATCACATTCCCACCATTGAATCGTAGAATGCAAACATATCAGTAATGTACAGAGAGGCAAGTGCATGCACACGACAGACACCTTACGCCGCGCACCCGATGCCACGGCGCCCTGGGTTGAAGCAGGCGCCGCGAGTTGAAGCATCGCCAGCAGGGGCGGCCGGGCCCAGAGGGTTGGCGCAGGCCCCACGCCCCGCCTCACAGCATTGGGCCTTGCTGTCCCGCCCGAAGGACGGAGCAGCCGGGTAGGGTAGGGTGCTCACAGCATGGGCAGCGCGGCGACGTCGGCAGCCTGCAGCCGCCCGCCGGGCCGCATCTCCCAGGCGGCATCCACCAGCGGGGCCAGCTCCCGCAGGTCGTGGGACACCACCAGCATCGTGCACTCCCGCTTCAGGGCAGCCAGCAGCAGGAGGAGCTCGCCCCGCGTGCGCCAGTCCAGCCCCGCCAGCGGCTCGTCCAGCAGCAGCAGGCGCGGGCGGCGCACCAGCTGCACCGCCAGCGCCACGCGCCTGCGGAGGAGAGCACGGACACAGGGGCCGGTGGAGGGGCGGATGGCGGGGCGGGTGCCACGGATGGATGCCGGCGGCGCCACAGCCGCAAGCAGCACACAAAAACAGTGGCCCATTCGAAGGGTTCCCCTGCTGCTGTGACCAACCCTGCAAACAAACAGCTGCCAAGCAGCCGCCGCCTCCTCCTCCTCAACCCCAAGCGCCCCCAGCCCAAACGCACCGCTTGTAGCCGTCGCTGAGGTTGGCCAGCGGCGCGTCCAGCGGCAGGCCCCGCAGCCCCACCGCCGCCAGCACCTCGTGCGTGCGCAGCGACAGCGCCTGGCGCTCCGCAAACGCCTCTGGCGCCACCGGCCAGCCCACCACCAGCTCCGAGGACAGCGTGTTGCCGATGAAGTGGCGCTCAGGGAACTGGAACACAAGCCCCGCAGACGCCATGCGCTCCTCAGACCCCAGGCCAGCCGCGGCGCTGCCTCCGCGGCCGCCGCCGGCCACCGCCGCCGCCAGCATGCCGGCCGGCGGCAGCCCCGAGAAGCTGACGGTGCCAGAGTTCTGCTGCGCCAGCCCGGCCACCAGGTGCAACAGCGTGGTCTTGCCGGCGCCCGAGCGCCCAAACACAAGGCCCAGCTGGTTGGGCGGCAGCGTCAGGCTCACGCTCGTCAGCAGGGGCTCGGGCGCGCCTGCGGGGCGGGAGGCAGGGAGGGGGCTGGGGCGGGTGCGGCTCGGGGCGGGCCGGCAGGCAGCCCGCTGCACGGAACGGGGCAGCATGGGACCCAGGCCTCCTTGCCTGCACTGCCAGGCACACGCAGCAAGCAGGCAGGCAGGCGGGCAGGCGGGCAGGTGCTCCCCACCCGGCGGCTGGAAGCCGAGCGCGTCGACGTGCAGGTGTGCCCCGCTGGGCCGCGCCGCCGCCTCCTGCTGCTGCATCGCCAGCACCGACTGCAGGATGCTATTCATCACATCCGCAAAGTTCTCCTGCTGCTGCGGGGCCTCAGGGTTGCCCGAGCCGGCGGCAGCTTGCACGAGGCTGGCTGCACGGGTGGGGGCGCGCGGCGCTGCCAACCCGCGCTGCCGTAGTGCGCGTCGGGCGGCAGCAGACAACGGCGCTGCGCCTAGGTGGTGACCGCCGCCGCTGCCGCTGCCGCCTGGCCCCCAGCCGCAGCAGTGCTGCCGCCAGCGCGGGAAGCACGCGCTGCTGGTCACAGCAGCTGCAAGAGTCGCAGGCCGGTGGTGCTGCTTGGGTTGCTGCTGCGCGTGGTGCGCCGCCTGCGCCGGCGGCGGCTGCTGCCCTCTGCTGTTCACTGCCGCTACCCTAGATGAGGTCTGCAAACTCTGCCAGGTCATCATAGTCATCCTCCGCCTCCTGAGCCTGCTGCTGCTGCTGCTGCTGCTGCTCTTCCTGCTGCTGCTTGCGGGGCCGCGGCTGGAAGCCACGCTTTGTCAGCAGCTGCAGCAGGGGTTGAGCAGGGTGAACAGTCAGGGCGCGGGAGGGCAGGAGGCGCATGGTTGACAGCAGGCGGCGATGCCAATGGTGCAGGCACGGTGCAGGCGCAGCGCCAACACGGGCGCCTGGGCGGCGGCGGCATGTGCATGGCGGCACTGCACACCTGCGCGACCAGGTCCTGCGCCTTTCCGCTGGCCGAGGTGGTCTTAGCAAAGTACTTCAGGTTCTGAGCCAGCAGTTGCTGCTGTTTCTCTGCCACCGACTCTTCGGGCTGCTGCTGCTTGCGCTTGCGCCTGCCCTGCTTCTTCCGCTTTCCCTCGCCCCGCTGCTGTTGCTCCTGCTGCTTGTCGATGCTGCGGCGCAAGACTGAGTTCAGCTGCTGCCTCACCAGCTTGGTGGACATGCTCCCCGCCTTGGAATGAATGCAGCAGTGATTGTGGATGGCCATGTCGTGCACGGCGCCCCAATTTGGCGTGCACCCTGCTTACAGTACGAAACGCAGTGTACTGCTCCGACAGATGAACTCTCTGGCCTTCGCGGGCACCACGTGCCCAATCCCCGTTGGTCCACCCATCGGCCGGCCTCTCCATCCGCCAGTGAGCCAAGCTGGAGGAGCAACCAAGCACCACGGGGACCCCACGGCAACAGCGGCAGATGGGGGGCGTTCTGGGCCTCATGGACGCCTTTATGGCCCGAATCAAGGTCAATGAGCGCGTGCACCTGGCCTGGTGCTGCGCTGGAGTCATCGGGTGTCTGGTGGCTTACGGCGTCCTGCAGGTGCGTGGGGCATCTGGTTGGGCCGGGGAGGGCGGTGCAAACACCCTGTCGGGAGGGCGCGCCCTGCTGACCAGCCTTCAGTGGAGGCCTTGCTTGAATTGGCAGCACGCTGCTGGGGTGCCCTCAGCGCCCTCAGGCCACCGTCGTTGTGTGACCTGCAAGGCGGGGGACCAGCGAACAGCAGCCGGGGCGCAGCAGGGCGGCTGGGGTGCCGCCAACCGACGCCCACGTGACCCCCCGCCACCCGCCGCCGCTGGTGTTGCCCTTGCCCCTTGCCCTACCGCAGGAGCACATCATGCAGGGCACCTTTGGCGGCGAGACATTCACCTTCTCCCTGTTCCTGGTGCTCTGCAACCGGCTGACCACCATGTGTGTGGCGCTGAGCATGCTGCTGGTGAGTGGTCGCCGCAGCAGCCCCGCACATTCAAGTGCAACCGCAGCAGGCAGCGGGCTGCACTCACTGTGCCGCAGGGTCGCCTGCCTCGCCCACTCTGCTGCCGAAGCATCTCGCTGCGCTGCACGCTGCGCCGCCGTGCCCCCCACTTCACGCCGCGGGCCAACCACCCCCTGTATGGCACGCACCCTGATGCCGACCAAGCCCAACCCTGCCTCCCCTGCCCGCGCAGATGTACGGCCAGGACCTGCGCCCCGTGGCGCCCCCTTACAACTACGCCGCCGTGTCTGTGTCCAACGTGGTGGCCACCTTCTGCCAGTACGAGGCACTGAAGCACGTCAGCTTCCCCATGCAGGTGCGTGGCTAGGTGGGGGCCGCGAGGGAGCGGGGCGGGGGCCGGTGGATTGCGGGCAAGGAGCCGGCCGATGGGTCGACTGGATGCAGCAGCAGCACGCGGCGACGCCTGCGGCATGCGGAGCAGCAGCAGCGTGGTGGCATGCGGCAGCAGGCAGCACCTGTTCCCCCCGCTCGCTGTGCCTTTGGGGGCCACCCACCCGGCCGGTCACCTGCCAGTCACCTGCCCCTGTGCTTGCCCCGCATGGCGCAGACGCTGGGTAAGTGCGCCAAGATGATCCCCGTGATGATCTGGGGCACAATCATCATGCGCAAGAAGTATGGTGAGCGGACCAAGGGGTGGCTGCTCGGGGCGAAAGCCAACCTGGAAGCTGCCGTGGATCACCCGCTTGCTTCCATTCCGCCCAGCTCTGTCGCGGCCGCTCCGTGCCGCTCGAGCGGGCCAGGGCCAGCACAGGCCTCATCCTTGCACCCGCCGCGCCCCTCCCTCCCCTTGCCCCAGGCCCCAAGGACTACCTCAACGCCCTGCTCATCACCCTGGGCTGCACCCTCTTCCTCATGACGGGCTCCGTCAAGAGCAAGCACGCGGGCGCCGACTCCTCCATCTTTGGCATGGGCCTCATGCTGGGGTACCTGGGCTTTGACGGCTTCACCTCCACCTTCCAGGACAAGCTGTTCAAGGGCTACCAGATGACCATCTACAACCAAATCCTGTGTGAGCACACACGCCCGCTGCGCTGTGCTGTGGGGGGGGTTCGCGAAGCGCAGCGCAGCGCAGCGCAGCGTGCGAGCGCAGCGCAGGCCATGTGTGACCAGGGGTGTGTGGCGTCCTAGGTTGGGGGAGCAGCAGCAGTGCGAATCCCCACCGGCTGCGCGCAAGCTGTGCAGCAAAGGTACCGAGCAGCTTGCTGGGAGCGGCGGAGGCCTGACCAACCCAGCATGCATTGTGTGGAAATGTCCTGCAGATGTGACCTCCTTCTCCGCCTGCTTCTCCCTGCTCGGTCTCATCACCGCCGGCCAGTTCATGCCCGCCATCAGGTGCGGAGCAAGGGCGGGTGGAGGGGGGCTCAAGATGCATGCGCTCAGGCCGCCCGCATCACAGCCCAGGCATCAGCGCCATGCAGCGGCTGGAGGGCCTGGGGGAGCCATGTTTCAAGCCAATGAGCTGCTGGAACTGCACTTCCCATCCGACTCAGGCTGAGGCCCATGGCTGGGTCTCTGGTGTGCGGCACAGCGATTGACCCGCACGCCTCCCCCCTCCTCCCTTCCTCGCGCCTGTGCCTGCCTGCCCGCAGCTTCATCACGCGCCACCCCGAGGCGCTGGCCTCCATCATGGCGCTGTCTGGCGCCGCCACCATCGGCCAGCTGTTCATCAGCCACACCATCAAGACCTTTGGCGCCCTGCTGTTTGCCACCGTGATGACCACCCGCCAGTTCATCTCCATCCTCCTCTCCTGCATCCTGTTTGCCCACCCCCTCAGCGGCGGGCAGTGGGTCGGCACCGTCATGGTCTTTGGTGAGCAGGTGCCCGCTGTCGCCGCCTGGCTGGGCGGCAGGGCCTCGCTGCGTGCCCTCGCACGCTGCTGCCGTGCTGCGGGGGCTGGGCCCTGGCACGTGTGTTGTGGCCCGCGGCAGGGAGCCGTTGCACCCACCGACCTGCGTGCTTGTGGTCTGCCCTCCCCCGCAGGCGCTCTGTACTACAAGAGCCTCAGCCGGGGCCCCCCCAAGCCCAAGGCGGTTGATGGGGCCCCAAACGGTGAGGCAGCAGCCGCAGACGAGAAGCTCCCTCTGGTGCACGCCACTGTGGGCGCGCCGGAGGCTGCTGCTGCCGTACCCGAGGAGACGCTCAAGTGAGCCTGAAGTGGCTGGGACGTGAGCTGTGATCAGGCACATGCCACGCTTCCCTGACCCCGCCGCGGCCCTCGGCTGGCTGGCCGACGGCACCCGCGCCCGGCCTCCCCTTTTTGAATGGGAGCGGCGGGGCAGGGCTTGCCTGCTCGGCGGCCCATGTGCCGAGCAGTTTGTCGATATCGCGCTTCCCCACAACTCTCAGTTTATGCTATGCAACCGCACGTGGCGGCGGCATTCCCACGGTGCTTGCTCGCGGTTTGGTTGGTCGCGCTTGAGCAGGTGTCTGGAATGCTGGATGTAAGAATAGTGCAACCCGGTGGCTCGGACAGGAGGGCTAGCTGAGCTGGGCTGCTGAGTGTACGCCTTCTGGAGGGGCGGGGAAGGCGCCCACGCGAGCAGGCGCCAGGCGCCGACATCATCTCAGCAGCAGCGTCGCGATGCGGCGTATTCCATCTACACTGTGCGCGTTCAGGAGCTCAATATTCTGGCTCTTAGCCTCTTCAAGCTTCAGGTTCCGGCCGCGCCCTCTGGACTTTGCGGCGCACGCGTGACCGCTGTCTGCAGGCACTTACAACGAGTGCTGAACCCGCTGCTGCGCCCGGCAGGAGGTGCCTGGGCGGCATGAGCGGGCTGACCCTCCCCAAGTTCCTGCCCGGCGACGATACAGCGCTCACAGGTGCGCCCACGCCTTGCGGTCGACCTCCTGACAGGATCGTGCACGCGAAACTGGCCGCATGTCAGTAGCGCAGCGCCGCCGCCGCCGCCGCCGGTGCGCACACCGCCTCGTTGTCGGTCCATGTGCAATGCAGAAGGCGAGGGGTGCGAGGCCGATGTGACGCGAGCCGTGGTGGTCGACGAGGAGCGGCACCAGCTCCGAGCTCGGCCAGCAGCAGCAGCAGCAGCAGCAGCGGCAGGCGACGAGGGCGGACCGACGGCGGCGGCAGTAGTGGCAGATCTGGATGAAGACCTTCTTCAAGAGGAGGCAACCAGCAGCGGCTCCCTGCTGTCGGTGGATACGCTAGAGCAGGCCAAGCTGCTGCTGTCGGGCGGCGTGGCGGGCGCCTTTAGCAAGTCGTGCACAGCGCCTCTGGCCCGCCTGACCATTCTGTACCAGGTGAGGGCAGGGCTGAGAGATCACACTAGCTGCCCGCTAGCCAGCTCCCTGTGTTTATTTTTTGTGCGTGCATGCACAGGCTGTGTGTGCCACAAGGAGGCCTTTTAGGCAGCCAGGGAGCCAGCCGCCGGGCTGGCAGGTTGCTGAAGCCGTTGCCCGGCAGCACGCCGCGTGGAGGGCCAGGTGCCTGGCTGGACACATAACCAAACACGCCGCCACCCCCTGCCCTGGCCGCGCCTCGCCTCGCAGGTCAACGGCATGCAGACGGCGGCGGCCGGCAGCGGCGGCAGCCTGCTCATGCGGCTGGGCGTGGGCGCGGCGCTACGGCACGTGGCCCGCACCGAGGGCCTGGCCGCACTGTGGAAAGGCAACGGCGTGACAATCATCCACCGCCTGCCCTACTCTGCCACCAATTTCTGGGTGTACGAGCACGTGAACGAGCTGTGGAAGCGCCACATACCCAGCCAGGGCGCGTGGGCGGCGGGCGACGTGGCGCGGCGCCTGGTGGCCGGCGGAGTGGCGGGCATGTCGGCGTGCGCGCTGGTGAGCGCCGTGCCCGCGCTGCGTCCCCGGCTGCGGCGCCCTGCTCTGGCTGCCACGTTCCCTGGCTGCTGCTTGCCTTTGCCCTCACCGCACCGCTTTGCAGGCAGCTTACTCTCACGCCACGCCCGCTTACCGCCTGCTGCCCCTCGCTCCCGCTGCCCCCTCCGCCGCCTGCAGGCATACCCACTCGACCTGGTGCGCACGCGGCTGGCGGCGCAGACCACCCGCAGCTATTACACGGGGATCGGCCACGCCCTGCGCACGATTGTGGCGGACGAGGGGGCACGGGGGCTGTACCGCGGCCTGGGTCCCACGCTGCTGCAGGTGCGGCCCTCCCGGCGTCCTGCCTTGCCTCGGCACGGCGTGGCTGGCGGCGCCTGACGCTCTGCCCGGCCCCTTGGAGGCCTGCTCTCGCCTGCGTCGGCCCACAGGCTTGTCCAACCAATGCTGCGGCGCTGTGCAGGTGGCGCCCAGCCTGGCCATCAACTATGCGGCATACGAGACGATGAGGTCCGCCTGGCTGGCGCAGACAGACCTGCCCACGCCCACGGTGAGCAGCAGAGCGCAAAACAAGCAAAAGCAGAGGGTGCCGTTTCGCCACCAGAGAGAGAGAGGCGGCCCGCCTTGTTCCACTTCTGCTGCTGCCTGGCTGGTTGGTACAGGATTGGTGCCCCTCCACCTCCTGGCTGCCCCTAACGGGCCGCTTGCCTGCTGCCCCTGCTGTGCAGGTGCCCATGAGCCTGGCCTGCGGCTCCGCGGCAGGCTTGGTCTCCTCCACCGCCACCTTCCCGCTCGACCTCGTGCGCCGGCGGCTGCAGCTGCGTGGCCAGGGCGGCGCCGGCGGCGGCGGGCCGCAGCAGCCAGCCACCTTCCGTGGCACATTCAGCGCCGTGTTGCAGGTGGGGCGCGCAGCCGGTGCATTGCTTGCTGCTGCATGCATGCTGCCAGCTCATTGACCGCCGCTTCGTGCCCTCGCTCCTCCCTTCAAACCGGGCACCTCGCCGCTGGCACCTCGCTCCCTCACTCCCCTCTCCCTTCTCTCTACCCTGCCATAACCTCCACCCTGACCTGGATGCCCCCTGCCCTCCCTGCGCTGCTGCAGCGGGAGGGCGTGCGGGGCCTGTATTCAGGCATCCTGCCAGAGTATTACAAGGTGGTGCCGGGCGTGGCCATCGCCTTCTGCACCTACGAGCTCATGAAGAAGATGCTCGGGGTGCAGACAAACGCCACCCAGCGCTGACCGACCGACCGACCGACCGACCGCAGGCAGCTGACGGCGGCAGGCCGCAGTAGGCAGCTCAGGCCGCAGTAGGCAGCCAAGTGAGCCAGGCAGCTGGCAGCAGCAGCAGCAGCAGCAGCCAACAGCCAACCGGAGCACTCAGCGTTTGGCAGTGAGTTGCAGCTTTTTCCCCGCGCTTTCGCATCACGACGCAGTCCCGCAGCCCAATCTTTCGCCACCTGTTGTCTGTGTGTGTGGCGCTGACAGCCAGGCCCTGCGCCGGCAGGGCGTTGCAAGCCTGCCCCTTGCCTGCCTAGCCCGCGCGTAGCCCGCTCAGCCGGGCGCCTCGTGCCCCTTGCTTCACTTGCTTCTCGGATCCAAACCAGGTCCCCACCCATTCTTGCAGCACCTGCCGCCGCAGCGCTTATCCCTCTCCTCTCCCAGTTGGCCGGCTGCGGCGCCAGCCCCTGCCCTTGGAATCCAATCTGTCAAATGTGTCTGGATTTATCTGTGTGCACCCTCCACTCTCCCCTTCGTACTGCCCCCCTTCTGCCAGTCTTTTGCCCAGCAGCCATTGCATGGTGCTGCTCACTCGGCGACAGTGGCTGGCGCAAAGCAAGGCCCACACATTTGCGCGCCACACATTGCCGTGCCAGCTGTAAAGCTGGTCCCAGCATTTCAGCATCAACAGTGGCACACTCTGGTGGTGTTTGGTTGGATCGAAGCACTGGTCTTTGATGGGCAGCGCTTCCTGGCGTCGCTGCATTCCATGCTTACTGGCAAAGCTGCGCACGTCACTTGCACAGCAGAGAGGGAGGGGGGGATTTTAGCTGGGAAGGCTGCTGACTCGAATGCAGCGAGCAGAAGCAGGCAGTATCAGAGGCACTATGGAGAGGCGTACACAGGCGGGTGCAAGGTGGTTCAGAGCAAGGGATCATATCGGAGTGACAAGGGGGAGGGAAATATCATTCAGTACCACTCAGGAGGCACAGAGCCCGCTGCGGAAGCAGCAGGCTGTACCACACAGAGCTGAAAACTGTACAGGGCATGGGGTATGGGGGTGCGTATCATGCGCCCCCAGGCGGCGCCGCCGCACAGCCAGGTCTCTCGGCTGCCGATCACCTCCACAGCCGGTTTTCTGTGACGAGGCCCCGCTAGCCCAGCTCAGTGGAAGAAGGCAAAGTCATCGGTCTTTCCCTTGTGCACCACAGGCTGCCAGTAGGAGGGCCCAGCAGGGGGCTCGATGCCTGTGCCCGCCCGGTAGGCTGCTGCCTTCATCAACTGCACCACCTCCTCCAGGCTGCCGCCCTCCGAAATGAAGGCCTTGGCTGCTGGGTGCCACAGGTTGGGCTCCAGCCGCTCGGCAGACAGCCTGCAGGCGGGCGGGCGGGCGGAGGGGCGGGCGAGCGCACATGATTTCATGTCTGCAGGGACAAACACGGGTGTGGGAGACTAATGTGGGGTGCCTGGTGCCGCAGGGCCAAACACAGCTGCTGAAGGCAGCCTGCGAGCGCCCATCTGGCTGTGCCGCAAGCAGGCTGGAGTTCCAACCCAGCCCCAACGGCAGCGGCGCCGGCAGGCATCACGGCAGCCCGCGGCGCGCCTGTCCTGCAGCTGCCTGCAGCGCGAGTGCTGCTTGCTGAGGCTGCGCAGCAGGCCCTTGACCACGTCGTCGGCGCCGCCGTGCGGTCCGCCACCCTGGATGAAGAGCTTGCAGCGGCCGGCGCTGCGGCGGTGCATCAAGCCGTTGAGGTCCAGCAGCCCGAGCAGCTGGGTCTGGCGCTTCAGCTGAGCGCCCAGCTCCGCCACCTGCCCATCAATGTCGCCCTCCCCTGTGGCCACCCACTCCCGGAACTGCGGGCCGGTGGCGGTGTAGAGGCACGACAGGCAGGCGGCATCCAGCCTGCGGCGGCAGCGGCAAGGCCAGGATCCTGAGCGGTGAGCGTTCGCTCAGCCCGCCCAGCCAGCCGGTCAAGCAGAGGCAGCCGGGTGGTGCAGGCAAGCGCGTTGGTGCATGGCTGGACCCCCAAAGGGCGGCTGTGCCACACGCTTCACTCTTCATGAGGCTTCACTGTTCACGAGGCCATGCTCTGCCGGCCATGCGTGTGCCTTGATCCCACCTCCCACCCCCGCTGGCTGAGCCCCTCCCACCTCTCCTCCAGATCCAGCACTCGGAACAGCTCCTGGCGGCGCGCCTCCTGCTGCCGCCGCGCCACCACCAGGACCGACTCCACCTCCTCCACGATGCCATGCGCGAGGAAAGCGCGGTACCGCCAGTCGCGCTTGAAGAAAGACATGCCCTCCTGCGCCAGCCTGAATGGCAAGGACGGCAGCAGCGGCGGCAGGTGTCAGCTGGTTGTTGTGTGTCGCTGCCGGTGGGGCCGCTGCATGGCGTCCAAGGGAGGCAACCAGACAGGCCCACCCACCCTTCGTCCAGCGCAGCCTGCCGCTGCTGGCGCGCCAGGCTGTCCCTGTAGGCCTTAATCATTGGATCCAGTACCTCAGTCAGGTTGCGGTGGCCATAATTCAGCCAGGCCAGTAGGTGCCAGTACTCAGGCAGGCCGTCCTCTGAGGCGGCGTTGGCGGGCAGGCGGTTCTCGGCCAGCCTGCAGGCAGCAGCGCCAGCCGCCTCCCCTGAGAGCCCAGAGCGACACGACACCTGAACGCTGGTTCACGGCACGGACCCAGCTTCACATCATCGCTGCACATACTCTACACGCACCTGAACGCCAGCTCCTCCTCACGCCGCCGCCTCAGCTCCGCCTGCCGCTCCTCGTGCGTCTTGCGCGCCTGCTCGCAGCGGGCCGCCGCGGCCAGCTTCCGGGCCTGCATCTGCGCCTCGTCGCCGTGCTTCTTGTGTGCCGCGGAGCGCGCATCCATCTCGAGAATGTAGGTGGCGCCCCACCTGCCCCTGTACGTCTTCACCCCCTGCACGCATGCCGGGGCGCGCAGGCAGGCACGCGGCAGCTCACACGCAGCCAGACGCGAGCACTGAGCACCGTAGTGTTCGCCGTGTGGGTTGCCAGCACGCCTGCCAGGAGCGGACGCAGGACGCAGGCACCTCGCGCTTGCCGCGGAACGCCGGCGGCGGCATGGTCCCACGGCACCCCAGGGGGGAGCCCACCTGCAGGTTCTTGTTGGACAGCTGGAACAGGTGCTGCGCATCAGCCTTCTTGACTTCGTTCTTCCTGGCTGGGTCGGCAGCCACAGCCGCCTGCACAATCTCCAGGTCAGTGGGCGGCTTTGGCGGCTGCTTGGCGGGCTTCCGGCCGCTGCACCGCCTCTTGGCCGGCGGGCGCGTGCCGGTTGCCGCGCTGCTGCCGGAAGCCTCGTGTGGCGAGCCAGGAGCGTCGGCCTCCGCAGCTAGCGAGCCTGCTGCCGCCTTGGCTGCCGCTTTTTTCCTGCGGGGTTGGCGAGCAAAGGGGCACGCACGAGATGTGAGCACCCACAAGCGCCAGGGCCAGGCTCCAGGCAGCCACGCATCCACGGGGGCGCTGGCAGGAAGGCAGGGGGGCACCCCTCCCGCCCCCCCCCGCGCACCTGAGGCGCTGCGCCAGGGCAGCCCACACAGGGCTCAGCTCCACCTTGCCCCCGGCTGCCAGCGACAGGTTGACCGCGTCCCGCGCCACCAGCGTCACGCTGCGGATGCTGCACTCCTCCAGCAGCTGGTCCACCAGCGCGGGGGCGCCTGCCAGCAGGCAGCTGACGTCGTCTGCGGTGACGGCAGGCCTGGCCCAGCCCGCGCCGCCGCGCCGCAGGACCTTGCGCGGACGTGCATACTCCGCCTCCTCCTCCAGGCCCTCCTCTCCCAGCTCCAGGGCATCCTCCACCTGCACAGCAGGGCCGCGCGTCCGTGCAGCCCGACTGGGTGGGTGCTGGCGCCGGCGCCGCCGGCGCGACCGCGAGGACTACCCCTCCAAACCGCCCTGGCCGGAGCGATACGCGTGGCGCCTCGGTCAGGCACCTAGCCAAGGCTGGGGAATGCAGGGCAGCGGCGCTGACTGCTCGAAGGAGGCACAAACGCTTAATCTCGCTGGAATCGAGCGGCAGGCAGCTGCGCAGCGCGGCATTTACCTCTGCCTCCCCGGCAAACGCGCCCAGCCGTTCAGGCACCCGCCTCGCCCTCCCGGCCATCCTGCGACCGAAGGACACACAAAACCAGGGCCTCTGAAACCAAGATATGGGAACAGAGGGATTAGAAGTCGATTCAAATCAAGCTCGTAGAGGAATTGCCAGTATGAACTGGTCACCGCCGCTCAACCGCTGACGTGGCGAGGCAGCCGTCTCAAGCATTTTGCAAGTAGTGCAACATTACATTGCAAGTTCAGGGGCATCTCGTGATGGCACCCAGAACGTCAAAATCACGATTATCGACAAGCAGGGGCGCCGCGCTGGGCATGCGCAGCCTCGAGTCGTCCAGCCCGCCAGCGTGCGCCTGCCCTGCTGGCGCTCGCGCTCGCTCTCACACTCTCGGGGGGTATGTCTTCGTGCGCGCTGCCTGGAAGTACTGGTGCAGCGCGGAACCCCGCTCAGGGTCCAGTGCGGTGAAGCAGGCGCCGCACTGGCGCGTGAGGTTGACGACCGCGTGCGTCAGCAGCAGGAAGGAGTGCAGGCCGGCTGCAGCGGGCGGGGACGGGGAGGCGGGGAGGCATGCGTCGGTACCAGCTGACACGGGGCACCAACTTCCAGCCACCAGGCACGCCCGGCACCCACAAGCGCAGGCCGGACACGCCAGCCGCGGCTTGGGGCCAGCAGGCCGCCCCAAAAGCAGTGTTCTCCGCACACAGCGCTGCCTGCCCCTCACCAATCTGGTGCTCCTCCCTCTCCCGCAGCGAGGCCGCCTCCAGCTGCTGCACCGCATCCACCAGCGCCTGCAGCTTGGCCAGCACCCAGTCGCGCCGCTCCCCGCTGGTGGTGCCCGCGCCCGCCAGGGTGCTGGCGCCCAAGCTGGGCTTGTTGGCGCCGTCCGCCGCCGGGGCCGCCACCGCCACGCCGTTGCCGTCGCCACCGGCCTCGCCGTCGTCGTGGCGCCGCTCCAAGCTGGATTCCTCCAGCGGCGACAGCGGCTCCCCGCCGTGCCTGCTGCCGTGCACGCTGCTGCTGCCGCCGCCGCCGCCCGAGGCCTCCCCAGAGGAGTGCAGCACCATGACTTGGGACAGGTGCCGCGCCATCTGCTGCGCCGACAGCAGCTGGCTGTCAGACAGGCCCACCACGGGCGGCGGAGAGAGGGCGCCATCTGCGGCCGAGGGGCAGCACACGAACGGCATGCATGTGAGGACCAGCAGGCCAGTCAAGCCAGGCAGACCTGATCTGATATAGCCTGGACAACAGCCAGCCAGCCAGGCCACCAACCCTGCCGGCTGCCTCCCCACCTGAGCCCTCTGCTTCCATCTCAGCAAACGGATCGTCTGCCGCGTCTGCCGCATCTGCTGCTGCCCCTGCTGCCGCCTCCACGTCCCCTACCAGCGGCGCCGCCAGCGACGACTGCGGCCGCATGCAGCCACCCCTGTGCTGCTGCTGCTGCTGAGGCTGAGCTGTCGCCGCTCCTCCGCTCGCCGCCGCCGCGGCCGCGCCTCCCGCCGCCTCCCCCGCTGCCGCCGCCTTCCGCTTCTTGCCCCACCTCTTCCACCCCTTCTTGGCGCCCTTCTTCGCCTTGGGTGGCCGGATCATGCTGCCCAGCGCGGTGAAGCCTGCCGACAGGCGCACCCCCGCCTCAGACAAGTTTCCGATATGGTGCTGCGCTGTGGCCAGCGACACGTCGCCGCACTGCATGGCGTTGATGAGGGTGTAGAAGATGCCCATGCTGACGTGGCAGCTGTGCAGCAGGTTCCTGCGGCGGCGCCGGCGGCGGCAGCGCGGATGGGTGAGGGGCGACGTAGGGGAGACGGGCACGGTGCTGGGGCTGGCGGTTGCTGCGAGGTGAGCGGCGGGCCCGCCTCTATTCACACCGCCCCAACACGCCCCAGTTCATGGCCCCCGTGCGCAGTGCAAAGCCATGCCGGAGTGAAGTGCACCAGTAAGAATACCACTGCACACACATGTACCGCTCGACGGTGCACCTGTACTGCTCTGTGGGGAAACGGTGCGGCGGCAGGAAGCGGAACTCCGCGTTGGCCGCCTCCAGCAGCTTCCACATGGAGCTGATGTCGTCTGCCAGCCTGTTGGTGGTCTGCATCAGCGGCGCCAGCCGCGCCCGCAGCCCGTCGTCCGTATACAGGCTGCGGCAGGAGCAGGCGGGCCAGGGCCGTGGGCGGCGGGGTGTGGTGGAGGGGTGGCGGGGAGGGGTGGCGGGGAGGCCGCGCATCCTCCATCCTGGATGCAGCCCCTGGGCAGCCGCCGCGGGTCCCGGAGGGGCAGCCCAGGACGCGGCGGACGCTTCGCTCGGCGCGCCAGGAGCCAAGCCTTCTCAGATGGTGGAGCCGCCCGTTCCTAGCCCCTGCTCACCACTGCTTGTCCGTGGCGCTCCTGCCGGGCATGGAGCCGCCGGTGCCGGGCGCGGGCGGCACGCATGCCTGGCCCAGCAGCCACACCGCCAGGTCGCCCACGCGGATCAGCGTGCTGGCCATCTTCTTTTGCAGCAGGGAGCGGGCCCGCACAGGGAACACAAAGAAGGACACCACTGCGGGGAGAAGGCAGGCAGGCTGTCAGGCGCCACGGGCAGGTGCTGGTGGGTTTCAACGGTCAGCTTTCCCTGCCCCACGGGTTTCATATTGGACCCCACAGGTTTCCATTTTGTTGTGTCGGCTACAGAGGCCACCCACATGCTCGCATCCCGCCCACCTGCCGCCAGCCCGATGCCCAGGACCACATCCAGCATGCGGAAGGCGGCCCCGCTGTAAAAGGTGTCGGCGGGGGCCCTGCACGCACCACCCGCACCGAAGTAAGGCACAGCGCTGGGCCCAGGGCCGTGTGGCGCCACCAGGCACGCTTCGGGGAGGCAGCTGGGGCCGCAGCCCACCCGATGTGTGCAGCGCGCCGGCAGGCCGACCAGGTCTGCACCGCGCCAGGCAGGCGTGCCAGGCGTGCCAAGCATGTGGGCAAGCAGCCAGGGATCCCGGCCCCTGCGCCCGCACCTCACAGCCGGCACAATGACGATGGGCAGCGTGAGCAGCGCTACGCTCCAGAACTCGCGCTGGTGCAAGTAGCGCTGCTGGTTGGTGGCATACACAAAGCTGAAGATGGCCACACTGGGCACAATCCAGGCGGCCAGCTCGCGGTAGTATGTATCATAGTCGTAGAAGTTGTCTCCCACGGCTGCAGGCGCAGGGGCGCGGGCAGAACAGCCAGCGTGCAGCAGGCGGCAAGGCCAGCAGGAAGAGGCGGCCTCAGCGCAGAGGCAGCAGCGGGCAAGCGCCAGGCGGCTTCTTGCATCGCCCAGCAATCCGGGATGGCAGGTCGCTCGCATGCAAGAGCAATGGAGGGAGGCAGCCAGACGGCAAGCTGGCGGGCAGCGCACCGATATAAAGGACGAGCAGCGAGATGCCGCCAGACACGCCTGCTGCCATCAGGCGCAGCATGAGCTTGCGGAATGCATCGCCCGTGCTGGGCTCCAGCACCACGGCCACCTGCAGCAGCAAGGCGCGGCTTGTGGCTGGTCGCGCCAACAGCTTCAACGGCCGCAAGCGGCGAGTGGCCACCGGCCGCCGCCGCCAAGCGCCCCGCACCGTCACGGCGATGAACAGTGCCGACCCGCCACGATCTACGGCCACGAAGAATTGGTTGATGAGCACTGGCATCAACGCAATGGCTTGGCAAATGCCCTGCTGCAGCCCAAGTTGCAGGTGCTCCGACTTGTAGCCCGTGATCCATGCCTCTATCGTTGAGAGCACGGAGTACGCTGACAGCCTCATTATGGCGGGAGAGAAGTGCGAGTTTGTTTCCTACGTTCGCGCCAAACCCATAGAGCAGGCTGGCCGCCTGGTAGCGCTCACAGCATGCGCCACAAGACCTGCAGGGCCCGGTTCGGCGTGTGTGCTGGCAGGTCGACTTTGGCTCCAAATTTGTGGCCGCGCCAGCTCAGCACCGCCCGCCCCGCCTTGCATGTCGGCATCATTTCAAGTTCTTAATTGGAAATAACTCAAGCCTCGGCGCTTCATTCCTACTGCAATCAAATCTCCGCTCGTGCTACACATGAGCTGTGGCTGCAGACAGTGCGCCAAAATGGTGGGAGCAACCAGCGGGTCACCCGCTACGGTATCGTTGCAGTCGCACCCTGAGCGGACACAAAGCAAGCTCAGCAGCGCCGCCATGCCGCGTGGCGCTCCTCACACGCCCAGCTGCACATCGGTTCATTGCAGCTGCTGCTGCTGCTCCAGGAAGCTCCGCACCGCGGGCATACCGCCCTCCACGAGTTCCCGCAGCCCCGCCTTGAGCCGCGCCGCCGCCTCGGCGCACAGCTGCGGCTTGAGGTTGGCATACGCGGCGCGCACGTGGCCGGGGCGGCCGCAGGAGCTGCCGGGGATGAGGCAGACCTTGTGCCTCCTCACGAGCCACTCCACGACCGCATCATCGTCCTCGCAGCCTGCAGGGCATGTCACGGGGTCGGTGCCACGGCGGAGCAAGGGCAGGGCACGGCATCCTGCGAAAAACAGCGGGTGAAGGCAGGCGAGGCAAGGCAGGCCGGCTGGCGCTCACCGTCTGGCAGCTTGGCAAAGAGATAGATGGCGCCCTCCCCGCCCACTATGTTGCTGGTGCCCAGCGGCGACAGCGCATCAATCAGCGCGGCCCGGTTGCCGGCAAGGCCCCCGACCTGCAGACCAGAAGCACAGGCAGCGAGCGTGTGGTGGCCCACAGCCGATACCTGCCCATCTGCGTTTGTTCTCACCAGAGAGCAGCCATGGCAGCCACGCAGCCCGAGGCCGCCTGCCTGCCAAGGCCTGCTGCACGCCCACCTGCTCCTCCACCCACTGCCGCCCCGCCTCCACCGCTCCAAGCGCCACATACTGGCTGCAGGTAGTGAGCGAAGCAGCACATTCAGGCAGCCGCCCGACCCTGGCGACACCCAACACAACCACCTCCACCTTCAAGCCACACAGGCGTGGCCCCAAGCCTCTAGTGCCAAGCCCTCACCCCGGCACCCCCAGCCCTGCCCTCCACTCCTCAAGCCACCACATGGCAACACACCAACGCAGACCTCCGCCCTCGCTCCCCACCGCGCACCTGATCTGCGTGGGGCAGACGGGGATGGTGTCCTGCACCTTGAGTAGCTCCCCCGCCAGCACCCCGCCGCCGCCGGCCTCTGGGTACGCGATGTAGCCCATGCGCCAGCCCATCATGCCAAAGGCCTGCAGGCAGGCAGGCAGGCAGGCAGGCAGGCAGGCAGGCAGGAGGTTCATGAGCGGGTGCTCACGCGATCGGAGGCAGGCAGGCAGGCAGCAGGTTCATGAGCGGGCGCAGACCCGGGGCTGCCTTGAGGAGCGCTGGCTGTGCGACCTGGGTTTTGCTGCTCCTCACGACGGCAGGCACCCCGCAATCAATGCCCATAGCACGCTAGCTTGCTCCAGCCCGCAGCTGCGTCCCAGCCCGCAGGTCTTGCCTTGGAGAAGCTGAACAGGTTGATGACGTGAGGTGCTGCCACGCAGTGGTGCCGCCGCCCCTCGCCGTACACAAAGTGCTGAAGCGACAGGAGAGCGGGTGGGCAGGCGGCTCAGGGAGCAGGGGTGCCATGCAACACAGCCAGGCCCTGGTGCAGCCCTGCGCCTCCACGACCGCATGCAGCTTGCAGCCACTCTGCCGGCAGGTGGCCCCAGCCATCGTCCCGCAAGCCACAAGTGCCTCGTAAGTGTTGTCCAGCACCAGCCAGGCCCCCGCAGCGGCGCACAGCTCCGCGGCACGTTCCACCTCCTCTGCCGACATCAGAACGCCTGCACCGCAGCGGCAGCGGCGGGGGCCAGGGCCGCCAGCCAGGCAGCAGGGGGTCAACCGATGCACGGCAGCCGCCTGCCGCAGGGGCCAGCTCATGCCATCGCTGCGCTGGAGGAGCAGCGCAGACAACCAGGGGCCAAGCAGCTCACCCTCTCCCTCACCCTCCCATCCTTGGACACACCCGCCACGGCCGCCTGGCACGCCGCCCAGGCCATGCGCTCGCTGCTCACCGGTGGGGTTGCACGGGTTTGTGATGACGACCATCTTGGGCGGCGCAGGCCCCGCCAGCTCCCCCGCAAGCCAGTCCAGGTCGGGGTGGCCGCTGCCCGGGTGGGGAAAAGCAGGGGAGGCAGGATGAATAGGGTCGGGGGAGGTGACCCAGTCTTGACAAAGAGCTGCTCCTTGGCCCAGGCATGGCAGCTCATACAGCCGGGGCCGCCCAACCTGGCGGGGTAGCGTGGGCCGTACGCCACGTTGGCGCCACCGCCGCTCATCTGTATGGCCATGAGGTGGTTGAAGTAGTAAGGCCTGCAGCGGCGCGGCAGGGAGGCTTCCACGGCGCCGTCAAGCAACTGCTCCCCTGCCTGCCTGACTGAGTGGCTGGCTGGCGGGCCGGCCCCTGGTTGCGCTGCTGCTTTGCTCTCACTTGAAGAGGACCACACGGTCAGAGGCGTCCAGCAGGGCCAGCACGACGTTGGTGAAGGCCTGCAGGCATTTCGGCATATGCACAGGACACAACAGGTGACGGGGGATGAGGACTGTCATTCCTCCCTGTGCCCCCGTGGTGTCAACCAGCACCACCTCGAGGCACGGGAGTGCAGGTTGCTACTGGCCTGGTTAGCGCCGGCGGTGATCATCACATCGTACTGCAGGCAGGAGGCGGTACAGCAGGCCCGGGTACATTAGCCAGGAGGCAGTGGTTGGGTGGGAGGGAGGTGGGGGGACAGGGTGAGGCCCGAGGTCAGAGAGTCAGCAGCCCCGTTACGCACAGTACAGCATGATGCAGCGTGCAGTAGTGCGGCACAGCTTGACGCACCCCCTCCAGCCCGTTTTCCTCCCGTATCTTGCGCCGCAGCGCATCCCGCAGCGCCGGCAGGCCCTCATCAGGCCCATAGGCGCTAACAGCTGGGTCATTTGCCATCTCTGCCGCCCGCTTCAGCGCTTGCGGCGGCGGCTGCCAGTGCACGATGCCTGCAGGCAGCGGAGGGGCGTCTCATGGGGTGGACGGGGCTCATCCAGGCGGCTGGCTGGCACAGCGCTGGCAATGGCGCACTGTCTCGAGCGCCTGCCTGCCACGCAAACGTCGCTGGGAGCTTGCCTTGTGCCAGAGACAGGGTTCCCTCCGTGGTGGCTACCAGCTTCTTGGTCTTGACGATGCAAGGGGCGTCGGTCTGGAGGACGCGCTGCGATGTGGCGGGCTGCAGTGCCTGCTGATGCCGTGCGGCCGCCGCCGTCGCCGCCGCCACCAACCTGTCGCCGCCTGCAGCCTGCGCCATGTTATGAATTTGGGATCGCCCAGACCGCCTCAGCACTGCGTGCTGCAGGGCGGGACAAAGGCGGAGGGAGGAGGACGCCAGTCCCGCCATTGGGGGCCCGCGCCTGGCACCCTTGTCAAGACTTGTGCCGACCGCAGCAGTGGTCTGATCGCTATTTACAAGAGATCAAACGGAAGAAGCTGCTCGCTGGCCGCCTTTCCTCACAAGCCCTGCCCCGGTGTCGCCCCGTCTGCTCCCCCTGTGGCCAGCGCATGGCCTGCCTCGGTCTCTAATCTTACCCCGCCACCAAGTCTAACCTATTTTAAGCCTCAGGACTGTGGCAAGCACTTCATCACCCCTCCTCGTGAGTGCGCAGGGCGTGATGGGCCGCCTCCCCTGCCTGCCGCCCCCCACCCAAGCTGCCATGCCCCTATAGCGTGGGTTCCGGCATTTTCACGCCGCAGCGGGCGCAATCGAGGCCCCAACCAGCGGCCTGTGCTTGCCCCCTCCCATGCAGGTGAATTGAAGAGGACCCAGGCACCATGGCTGCTGCCAAGGCGACTGGAACGGTCAAATGGTGCGTCTGGCGTGAAGGGAGGGGCCCCCGCCCCGCCGCCAAGTGATGGGCCGGGGGGTGGTGCGGTCCACGAGATTTGCACCCTCGCTACCGCCCCCCGTTGCTCGCCCCTGCTCCGCTCCCGTGGACCGGCGGCCCGGCCCGTCACTTTTAGCATAGCATCTCTGTCATGCACTCTGCTGGGCTGATCACGCTCAGACGGCGGCGGAGCGGGGCGCTCTGCACCCCTCACACTCAAGTTGGGCTCTTCTGACTCGTGTGATTGCTCTGCTGCCTGGCCGCAGGTTCAACGTGACCAAGTAAGCCGGCCCTCTGCGAGGCCCTCTGCGAACCGTGTTGTGGAGGCCGGGGGAGGCGCGATCGCGGTGCATGCATGTGGGGGGTGGGGCCTGGGCCGCCCTCCCTGCCTGCCCTTCCAACCAAGCAGCTCACCCACCTTCCTGTCTGCTTGCTGCAGGGGCTACGGCTTCATCACCCCCGACAGCGGTGAGCCTCGGGGCTGCCTGCCTCTGGGTTACTTCCCGCCGCGCCTGCCGCACCTGCCGCAGCGCGCCACGCCCACTCGCCCCGCCCCTCGCCCCCGCCTGACGCCGCTCCCTCCCCTTGCGCATGCCCCGCCCTGCAGGCGGCGAGGACCTGTTTGTTCACCAGGTGCGGCCCTGGCAGCCCTTCCAAGCCGCCCCCCAGCCCAGCCAGCCGTGCCTGCATCGCGCCCCACCCCCACACCGGGCAGGGCCCGACATCGATCTACCGCCGCCCTGCCCCACCCAGCCTCCCACCCCCCGGCCCTCCACCCTCCGCCCTCCCTCACCCAGCCTCCCACCTTTGGCGCTCCCCGTCCACCCTCCCCCTGCAGACCGCCATCGTGTCTGAGGGCTTCCGCTCCCTGCGCGAGGGAGAGCCCGTGGAGTTCTTTGTGGAGACCTCCGACGACGGCCGCCAGAAGGCGGTCAACGTGACGGGTGAGCGGCGGGTGGCTGGGGCTGGGTGGACGCGGGTGGCGGGGGTTTGGGGTGGCGGGTGAGCCCGGCAGGGGCTGCCGCGCGCGCAGCGAGGGCCTCGCCTCGGCACTGGTGCGCCTCGCGGGCGGCGGCGTGCTTGCTGCTGGCCCCACAGCACCCAACCCTGCTCTCACACACACACACCTTTCTGCGGTGCCCCCTTGCTGCCTGCAGGCCCCAACGGCGCAGCCCCCGAGGGCGCGCCCCGCCGCCAGTTTGACGACGGGTACGGCGCCGGCGGCGGCGGGTACGCCTCTCGCGGGCGCTGCATGCACAGCCGGTGCTTGGCTGCCACTCTGCTGCCAAGCGCCCCCCTTGCTGACGCACCAACGCCCCCGCCCGCTCCCTGCCCGCAGCGGCAGCTACGGTGGTGGCTTCGGCGGCGGCGGCGGCGGCGGCCGCCGTGGTGGCGGCCGCGGTGGCGGCGGCTACGGCGGCGGCGGCTACGGCGGTGGCTATGACCAGGGTGGCTATGGTGGCCAGGTGCGAGCATGGGCCGCCCGAGGTGCCACCCGGTTCACTTGCCTTGCGCCCAGGTCCGAGCCTCAGCAGGCGCAGCATGGCTTGGCTGCCCCGCTGCGCGCCGTGCGCCTCGCCTGCCTCCCCCGCTCGCGCCCAGCCATCTGCTGCCAGGCAGCCAGCCAGCCACTTGCTGCTGGGTTGGCTGCGCTCCCACCCACCCA